AGTGGGGTTTCTTTTGAGGGTGGTGAAATGTTATGGACTCTGATAATCATGAGGGTTGTACAAGAATCGGACCATATTAAAATACATTGAATTGTACACTTGTAAATGACATATTTTGTTAAGTGAATCCAGATCTGCCTGACTCCACTTTAAAGAAAGAGTACAAGCTTGAGGTCATTCTGTCTGGATTTGAGTCTCCCTGCACATTCACTGCACTAGCCACTTTATGTGCTCTTGGGCACATCACCTTTCTGTGCCTCAGTTCCTCATCTCTTAAGTGGGGGCAATAATTGTACCTACTTCATAAGCTACCATCAGTATATAAAGGACTGAACAGCATTTCACCTCAGGGGGCTCCCTGCCCAGAGTTTGGGGGTGCGGTGTCTTTCCGAAACCGTGGTCAGAGGGATTGTGTAAATCCAACCCAAACCTTCTTATCCTGCAAACCCGGTTTCCTAAGAACCCCCTCCCCTAACCACCCCGAAGGCGAGATCCACCCCTCGACCGCGGGAGGAGGATGGAAACCGGGTATGCTCCCGCCTGATTTTAGGATGGAGACAGAAGCTGCGGCGAGGAGACTGCGCTGCAGCGCGCCGCCTAGTGGCAGCTTCCGGCACACTGGTGCTCGCCTCAGAGGCAGGTGCCTGCCCGATGCTGCTAACCACTCCAACTACCTCTCTGGCCAGGAACCCCTAAAGCGATTTTTAAAGTATGCTTCTTATAAAACAGACCGCTGGTACTCTTCCAGATTAGGGACTTTGTGTATATTCTTTTTAACGCTATGAGGTAGTTATTGTTTCCATTTTACAGTGAGGAAACAAATACTTGGAAAGCCTCTGCAACCAGCCCAAGTTCCCCAGCAGGTAAGGGCACCCCCAGGCCTGGCCATCCAGAGCTCCATCTCGGATACTCTCTTCTACTTTGGGAGGAATGAAGGTTACCCATAAAAGCATCTGAAACCCCTGCTCAGGGTGCCAAGTGGCTCTGGAAGGTCTGATTTCAAAGCAGCTAGATTGTACAATAGCGGCCCCACCTCCAGCTTCTGGGCTCCTCCCAGAATCCAGAAAACAGAGGTAAGAGATCCTGATCTGGGCCCACTTGGCAAGGCTGTAAGCCTTTGACCCATAAGCTCTCACTCATAGCCTCCTTGATGGACCCACTTAACCAATAGGCGGTATGCCTGCTATGGGCAGAACAGTGACTTAGGTGCCGGATACATAATGGTAAGCAGGAAAGGGGACACACCTCTAAACAGCTCATTGCCTGAGTCCCCCCTCCCTTTTTTTTTTAAGATTTCTTTATTGGCCCTCCCTGGTGGTGCATCGGGTTAAAGCGCTGCACTGAGAAGCTAAAGCCACTTCCGCATGAGTTCGATTCCCGCCTGCCCAGATCGGAATCCACATGGCGAGGCAGATCTCTCCTGACCCGCCCGCTGCTCCCCTCAGCAGTGTACTTCGTCGATCTGCCTGTTCTGCTCCCCACTCTGTCTCTGGTGAAGCCTCTCACCGCCCCTGAGCCTCTGGCCTGTACCCCAGTTCTGTGTGTACAAATAAATAAATCTTTAAACAAAAAGATTTCTTTATGGACATAGAACTGGGGTACAGGCGAGAGGTGCAGGGGCGGTGAGAGGCTTCACCAGAGACAGTGGGGAGCAGAAGGTAGACTGACGAAGTACACTACTGAGTGGAGCAGCAGGTGGGTCAGGAGAGGTCTGCTTCATCATGTGAGTCACCTCCGTGGGCGGTGGTGGGGATGGGGTGGGGGGGTAGGGGTGAAGGTGGGGGGGATTTCTCTCAGACATTTGATGGGCATGAGAGGGAGTACAGGGAGTTATGGAGGGAGACCCCATGCGGTACGTCCAACCTGATGTTAGAGTCCTAAAGGGAAGGCAGAGCCAGCGACGTCCTATGGCAAATTTCTAGAGTTCAAACAGTGTTACAGCTGGGGTTTGGGAGTGGAGCAGAGACAGCAGGACAGGGAAAAGGCCATTCATTCTCTTTTTGTTCTATACCCCATCCCTCCCACCCCACCCTGCACCCCCACCTCCCATAGCTCCAGGAATTATACAAAGTCACAAAATTTGGCATTTGAGTTAGAAGAACCTGGCTGGGGCTGTTACTATCTGAACAGCAAAGTCCTGAAGACTTTGGTAAAAAAAGGTTAAGACCCTTTTGAAAAATTTAATATCTCACTGGCCTGGAGAGTGAGAGTGAGCCCTATGGGGGTCCCTGTATGTTGTGTCACTGCTAAGGCTGATGCCCCGCAATCCAGCACGGAGCTCTTGACCAAATGCCTATGTCCAGATGATGCCAGATGTGGATCCCTGTATGTGCTTCCCAGTGGTAGGTAAGTATCTAAATATGTTTGTCTTTAACATCATTTGATAAGGGTGCATTTGTGCTTTTGGAAGTGTGTACTCGTGCTAGATATAATCTGTGACATGGTGGGTGTGTGTGCTTTCTGGAAGAGCCCTTTTACACCTGTAAGTTTTTGTTGGATGTTCACATGTATATATGTTGGCAGGTATATATTGGTGATGTGTGCCTGAGACTGTATCTGTGGGTGTGCTGACAGTTATGTGGATGGGTGGAACTTGCCAGGGGTACTGGGGCTTTCGTGCATCAAACTAACCCACCAATCTTCAACGCAGGGACCTTATTTTTATGCATACAGAACTAAGGTACAGGCCAGAGTGCAGGGGTGGTGAAAGGATTCACCAGAGACAGAGTGGGGAGCAGAACAGGCAGATGGATGAAGTACACTGCTGAGGGGCGCAGCAGGTGGGTCAGGAGAGGTCTGCCACGCCATGTGGTCACCTCCGGGGTGGGGATCAAATGGCACTGAAGTGGCTGTGGGTCTCTTGCAGGGCTGCGCTTTAACCTGCTGTGCCACCAGGGAGGGCCCACAGGGACCTTTTAAACTGGCCAAAGTTCTTTCCAGGGAGCCCACTCTGCTCATATCCACCTCTGATCCTGGGTGCCCAGCCAGAGGTCTGGAGGGGAGCAGTAACTATATGAACCCTCTCTCAGAGGCTCCAGACTTTGCCCTGAGGGGGGAATTGCATGGAGAGGGTACTGGGGAACAGCTAGAGAAGGCCCTCTCTGTCCCCACCTTTCTGCTCTAAAGCAGGATGTGCCCCTGAAAACACTCAGCCCTATTCTAGCCCATCCACTACCAGGTCCTGGGCCTGGGGGACCTTCCTTCACCCTTTCCTGAGGCAGCTCACTGTGACTGTGTTTGAAAAGTGAGTATAAACCCCAGATCTGGAAAAACTCCAAACAGTGAACAGGCCAGGCCCAGGCAAAGCGGCATCCTGTCTGGTTGCCAGCCTGTTCTCCCAGCCCCATCCAGCTCCGGAGGGGTGTAAGCCCCCCGGTTCAGAGGGCTTCTTTCCAATCCCATGCCCCTGCCCCTTTCTTTCAATCACGCATTTACTAACATCTGTACAGTCTGGGGCAAATGACTTTACATCTCTGTTCCTTCCATTCATCTATAAAATGGGTTTACAGATGACACTTACCTCAAAGTTGTGAGGATTACCTGAGGAGATGCATATAAAACATTAAACCCTGTTCCTGGCACATAGAAGATCTCTGTAGCTGTCATCTGGTCCAACCTTTCTGGGGGCTCTTGGTTTTCATCTCAAGACATCATCCACCCCCAAGCCCCACCTGACCTCACGTGCCCTGTGGCCCACCCTTGGGTGGCCAGGGCTTTCCTGCAGGAATCAGCCAAGCTGTGAGGGAGAACTTAGAAAAACAGATGGCTGGTGCCCTTTTCATACAATTTTCTCCACTCAATTTTATATCTTCGTACATGAGAGTTATTATTACCCTTCAATTTACAGGTGATGAGGAAGGGAGCATCACAATGGTTAGATAACTTGCTCAAGGTTTCACAGCAGGTGAGGGACAGGGCCTTCCCAAAATGCTTTCCATCTTCCTTCTACCCCAAGGTCTCTGGTGTTCAGGTTTTTAACACCCTGGGGGCCTGAGTGCTACGGGGGTACAGAGGTGTCTGGTAAAGTTTTGTCCCGGATCTTACACACAAATCAGGCCAATCAAGAAGATCCAAACCTATGCCCAAGTCCACATAGCTGTAAGCACTGGTTTAACCAAGACTGGAATGTTTGAGACTTTGTCATATAGGGAGCCTTTATTTATTCATTTGTTGTTTGTCTGAAAGACCCCCGTAACTGGACGACCTAGAGGGCATAGACCCCAGAGAGCCAAAAGTCCTGAGCTTAATCGGAGACAATAAGGGAAAGAGCCAAAGGGAAAGAGCAAAGCTACCTTTCCTTAGCTTTTGGAAAGGAAAACCTGGCAGACTCCGCTTCCTGCAGCAATCCAGGGACCGGGCTTTCCAAAGCTCTGGGCCCTGCGTCTCACGAGACCCCCCCTGTCAGGTCCCCAGCCCTACCCGGGCCTCGCCTAGGTGGCTGTCGGTTCTCCCCTCCGGGGGCCCCCCGCCGGCTCCGCCCACTCCCACTCAGGCCCCGCCCAGACCGCGCGCTGTTCCCTTCTGCTAGCGGACTCGCACGGGCGGGCGAGCCGGGTGGAGCGGGAGGGCAGGGGCAGAGCCCCCTCCCGACGGGGCCCTCCGCTAGGGAGCTCCGGCTGGCCCCCTCCGGCTGGCCCCCTCCGCTGG